ACGGAGAACTCCGCGGGACCTTACCGTGTGTCCCCCCGCGGGGACCTAACCCGCGTGTCCCCCCGCGGCACTTCAGCAGAACAAAGCGGTGCTGACACGTTTCACCGAATTCTCCCGTTTTAAGGGCGTAAGAAAGCGCAGAGGGGACGCTCGGCACACGTGGGGACGCGGCCCTGTCCCGTCTGAGGATGAGCTGTGCTAAGTTCTTGTGAAAAAGGAACAAGAGCCTCATCTTCTAAGTTATCTGACTGGTCTCAAAAGTCATTAACCGCCGTTAGAATATTACCTGAACTTTTTCTTCTGCGTGGGTCGCCAGAGCACACCCACGCTGATGCCGAGGGTACGAGGCCCATCTCCTCCCCACCTTCACTCCCAGAGCAGCCCGTGCGGAACGTGCCTGGACCCCCCTCCTGAGAGGGGCTGGAAAAGCCCGGCGAGCTCAGCGGAGACCTCTGCCTTGACTCGGGGCCGCCTCGCCGCTTGCTCTGCTGCCGTTGCTGGCTCTGCCTCTGGCCCGCTCCCTGCCCTCTGCTCGGCCAAGGGGAAGAGCCCCGGGAGCCGCTCACCTTCCCGCCCCACTCTCCCGGGGTGGCACCGACCCCCCGTGCCCAGCTGGCCCCCACGCAGCCAGGGCCGGTCCCCGTGGGCAGTCACAGGCCGCGGTGGTTCCCTGCTGCTGCCACCCGCACCTGTGCCCCCAGGGCTCGGGGAACCAGCCGGCACCGTCTGTAACCCCAGACCCAAGCGGAGGCCAAAATCATCGCCAGTCGCGTGCCCAAAGGCACAGTCAAAGCACTGGACTGAAAGAAAGCCATTTTAAAGGAATTCAGAGCCACAAAACAAGTCTTCCTCTGCTCCAAGGTTCCGGTGACGCTGACACTTTGACTGACATCGACACTGCGCGATCTTGACTTGCCCCACGCCAGCCACCTCCTGTCCCACGGGCGCTCGACGGAGCTGCCAGACCTTTGTCTTCCACGTCATTAGACAAGTGTCAAACCGATGCACGGAAACATTTCAGGAGCAGGAACAGCTGCATTGTGGAATCAAACTGCTTAGCGTTTTCTGCCTCTTTTTCTCAGGCAAAATTCAAGTGACCTGTCTGTCTCTTTGGAGACTTTACAGGCTGGAGATATTAAAGACATTCAGTATACTTCCTTCTTGTGTCTTACTTTTTTAAATGTCAGGTCTTTTTGTTTCTTGGAGGTCTAGATGCCCTCTAGATGGATTAATAATACCACAGAGATGCAGGCGCCAGGCACATTATAACTTATGAGCTGCAAGAACTCTCCTTTTGCTCTAAAACATTGATGTCTACTCTGTTATCACCATCAAATTTTAAGGCACAAAAGGAATAGCTGAGTCCTTGAAATATTTATTACTGAGCCTTATACCTGCATGCACTGTTTAATGTGCACAGCAGGGAACTGAGTAGGTCACACACGCCTTCTTGCTCCTGAGACAAGTTCAAAAAGCCAGCTCGGCTTTACCTAAGGTGTCAGCAGCACAGCCAGGGCTTGAGTTAATAACTTCTGAACTGCAGAGCAAGATATTCCACACCAGAGCACTTCCCTTCGTATTACTGCTTCATCTGAGCTCAGCTTACTGAGCAGGGACTACAAGCCTCCCTCCAGACAATGCTACCCAGCAGCAGCCGTGGGGAGGCTTCCCAACCTGGGATAAACATCCCAGAGTTCTGAACAACTGACATTTACATGTCAAGTGGAAACCACAACCAAATTTTTAATTCATCTACTATCTTAAGTCAAATTAAAATTCAAGTGGCAGGAGCCGGGAAGAGCAAACTCCTCTTCCAGTGACATTCAGGCACAATTTCCCCAGGGTCAGAGTATGATCTGGCACTGGCTGCCCCTCTAAATGGGAGCAGTGCTTTCAAACACTTTATTTCAGATTAAAATCTTTCATTAGCATATATTCTAAATAGCACTTATATTCATGACAAGTGAGTGGGTGGAGGAGTAAGTTTTACAAAATGGGCTTCAATAGGAGAAATAAGGAAAGAGCAACAATGCAATAGCAATTGCATTTGATTTTCTGTGGACAGCTGCAATTTAGACTTTATTATTTGAAATACAAATGGGAAGTACGTAATAGCTACTAATAATGGAACTTCAGAGCGGCTGGAAAAGGAAGGCTTTAAAATGGATTTGATAGTCCTTGAATTTTCAGCTGAAAGGTTTGGGTGGCAGAACAAAGAAAACCAATACGACGCTGTAAATCTTCTTTCTTCCTGACCTGATGGGTATTGTCTAGTGACTCCACTGGGGTTTGGATCTTCAGCCTTGATTTTTTTTTCCCCCCCCCCCTTTTTTTCTCCTTGAAATCATGCAGAATGCCACTGACAGCATGTTCAGTTACTGCCTGACAGCTGGCCACATGATTTCCATTGTGGTATGAACAAACAGCAGATATATGCTGGTTTTGGCTGGACTAGAGTGAATATCCTTCACGGTAGCTGGTATGGGGCTGTGGTTTGGATCCGTGCTGAAAACAGCGTTGATAACACAGGGGCGCTTTCATTATGGCTGAGCAGGGCTTACACAGGGTCAGGGCCTTTTCTGACTCTCCCCCCATCCCACCGGTGAGCGAGCGGCCGGACGGGGTTGACACACGAGAAGGTAACACTGACAGACGGACAGACAGACAGCTCCTACCTGCTCCTCCGAGCGCTCCAGCCTGGCTCCCCACAGGCCAACCCCTCCAACCTCATCTGAGGAACGTTCCTTCCTTTGCTGCGGCAGACTCTTGGCTCTGGAAGCCCCCGAGCCTTTAACACTCCTTAGTGTATTTTTTTTCTTTAGGAGATTCTTCTTTAGTTCTTCTTCACCCTCTGTGTGGGAGCACAGGGCAGAAAAGCAAACAAACCATGTTTTCCTTAACAGAAACCTCATTGCCAATAAAAGTGGCTTGACAAGGAGTGGGGAAGGTAAGTGCAATGTACATGTGACTGTTTCTGTGCACATTTACTACTTCATCTCTGTCTGCAGCTTTTTCCTGGGTGCAGCAGCCCCAGCAGATTGCTTTTAGCCTCCTGGTAAAGACAGAAACAGTAAACAGGGACACTCCCTAGTTCGGGTGCAACCATGCAAAAACTCCCTTTACACCCACCCTTTGCTGGGTTCCCGAGAAGCACAGTTGCCTTTGATGAAAAGATCAAAACTCATTCACATCTCAGACTTAAAGCTCAGCCTGTCTAGGAGCGCCTTGCTGATGTGAGGCTCCGCAGGCAAAGCTTTGCAGCAGGGATGCTGCTACTTTGAACCTTTTGAAGGTGTCCGAGACCGGGAGGCAGGAGAGCTGGCAGAGCCGCCCAGGCCTCTCATTTGCACCTCACCTGTCATGAGCTGAGGAGGCAAAGCCTGAGATTCGGATGCACTTGACAAGGTGAGGAAGACCAGGGTGGCACCTCCACATTTGCTGTACATTTTCCTGGCTTTTAAATAACGGCACTCTGGAACAGCTCGACATTTCTGTTCCCTTTAAAGACCTGATTAATTTAAAGGCGCAGTGGGTTTGCTGGGGTGACTCACATACCAAAGGAAGGGAGGAATGAAGAAAGAGGAGACTCAAATATTAGTAATTTACTTCAAAACTCTGTCCTTTTGTGCAGCTCTGGCCAAAAGGAGGGAGGTGATGGAAGTTGCCTAAGGACGGTGGTAAAGAAGCTGATGGCAGCGGCTGTGCCCTCCCGAGCTCAGGCCCGACCCCAGTCACCCACCAGACCCCCGATTTGGGGACCCCAGTGTGGTGGGAAGCGTGTCCGTGGGCAGCTGTTAGCAGAGGTGCCAGGCCGGAGAACCCCCGGGGCTGCGGAGCCCTGCGGAGAACCGGGGCCCCGGGAAGGTTCACTGCGGTTCCCCCCTCCCGGGCCAGGGAGAAGCGGTGCCCAAGGGCCAGCGACGGACCCCCCCACATCACCCCTCGGTCTCCCAGCTCTCTGCCTCGACCCCTTCCCGTGCGGGGCACACGGAGGTTTGAGGGGACGGGATGCCCAGGCTCTGGTGGGGTTCGGAGCAGTGAAAAAGCCTCACGGGGCAGCAGCGTGCTGGTGGGGGGATGGGGGCAAAATCCTCTGCGAAGCTGAGCCCCGGCAGGTGACGGGGGGCTGAGCAGCACCTCGCTCTGTATTTGCAAACAAACGGCAGCAGGAGCAGGAGCAA